CTATCATGACAGGAACCCTGGAATGCAAATCAGACATTGTCTTGTGTAAAAATTCTGTCTGTTCAAACTTTTAATAGCACTAGAAATCTTTTTGCTCCAATGTATTTGTTTAGCTGGACTGTTGCTATATGCAGAGTACGAAAGAACAAATTTATTGGGTTACAAAGAGAAAAATATATGAGGAACTAATAATATTGAATTAGGTACACCTGACTTTGACATAACATGTGTACTAAGCAGGTACTAAGTTCCACTGACGGTTGACTCAAAGGAGTTACCTGCACAAGGCCTAAGAAACAACATTAAATGAACAATAATGGACTAAAACCAACAGAGATTAAATTGGTAGTCATTGCACCATAAAGATAAGTGCAAGTTGTTTGTAGAACTATAAGTTTGGACAACTACAGCTACAGTACTTCTCCTGAAAATAGATTTAAAAATTAGAGTGAAATCTTTTTAGAATATAAAAATAATGCTTTTTCCTCATGCTAAACATTTCTAAACACATTTAATTTCAAGTATACTTATGTACTATCTTAAAAGTACATATTTGTCCAAAGCAGTAATAAAATCTGTTGGATGAATTGAAAATTAACATAGGAGGTACCTGATTGCCCTACCTGTACTCCATCCATTCACTTAGATCTCTTGGGACCACTTTATCAGTACAGAGTGAAATCATAGTCCCACTAATATCTGCAGAAGATGCACCAATGATGCCAACAAGGAGAAAAAAATCACTCTGTGAGCTTCAAAGAGCTGCCACTTAGAAGAAAAAAAAAATAGCCGACAACTAAACAGAAAAAGCCCCAATATATTCAAAATGCCTGTTAGCTTCTCCTGGATTTAGAATTTTCTCCAAAATAATACTGGCCAGAGGCTTACACTGACACATTTACCTTGAGGCTAAGGAGAGATGTAAAGTCTGGCATAAATGACTTGCTACATACGGATGAGAATTCTATGTATTCCAGAAAAGAACTATGCTTTTGGTTTTAGAAGTACCCTTATTTGTCCAAGACTGGGCATTTTCAGCCTCATATAGCATAAAGGTTTAACAAAAGAGACAACAGTTTTCACAATAGGACCAGATGAATTCACTAAATTTTTGCAGCCTTCTTGGACACCTAAGAATGGCCTCTACATTTTAGATATAATTTTTGAATGATCACTTTTCGTAACTATCTGGAATCTAAATTTGCAGAATCATAGAACGGGTTGGGCTGGAAGGGACCCTTAAAGGTCATCTAGTCCAATGCCCCTGCAGTGAGAAGGGACATCTTTAACTAGACCAGGTTTCTCAGAGCTGTGTCCAACCTAACCTTGAGAATCCAAGTTACATAATAATTGTTTCACAACATTCCATAATTTAATTCTCTAAGGTATAGGCTAGAAAAAAAGTATATAAATTGAAACTGAAAATTAGGCATGACAAATTCCAGATCAGAGCCTTCTCACTACTATTTTTTAAACACTGATGAAGTTTTTATGATCTTCAGCATACGGCATTCCATAAAAATGCATCTTGCTCTTTTATCCAATTTCATCCACTTCCAATAATGAGTAGGGTCACCTGGGTGATCTAAAAGACAAACAAGTGCAAGGAGTCAAATTAGACAAATGAACATTAACACTGGAACAATTTTAGAATTTACAACCTGTTACGGGGTAAGATTTTGGGATCTGTATTATGCAGATGATTAAATTACCATAGTGATGCATTCTGGATTTAATGATCAATGTATTAATTATCCAGATCAGCACTTAAGTTTTGAATCTTAAGTTCTGCAAGCCTTAATGCAAGCATTAAGCTTTACAGTGTCTGCTACTCTCTGTTACCTAGGGTCATGAGATATAAATTTAATTTTTAAATGGTTATAAAAATGCATATTCCTGGCAGTAATACAATAAGAAGCGTAAGACTAAGACACAGTTTCTGTATCCGTAAAATCTAGAAAGATGATTATGAGAATTACACTAACATGATATTAATCAATATTATTCAAAACAAAAAAGAAAAATTATCCCAAAGAGTGGATATTGCAACATGATAAACATTAAGCCCACAGTTCTTTCTGTAAATGCAGTTTTGTCCATGTGCATCACCACTGACTTCACAGCTTGGAATAGTCATCATCCTCAATAACTAAACATGCTCTTATGAAGATCTGCAAACTGTATCAGATTTCAAAACTTGCTCTTAACATTTTGCCTCTATCTTTGGATGTCTTCTTTTTCTGCTGCTCAGTCTTCTTTTGAGAGTAGGAACAGAGCATCAGACTTTAACTTTTCTTTCCTCATATACCTCCCCTATGAGAAGATTTTCATATAACTTCATGTACTGAAAATGCTGAAGTACAAAACTAAAGATACTCTGATTCTAAACCACATAAACAGATGAAAGTCCATCGGTTCCATATATATCTGCTTGAGCCAACCCCATTCAAAGATTACTAGAAACCTAAGGAAAGTATGGAACTGTTCAAGATTACATGTATGGAGACAATTTTCAGTTAGGTTGAGATGCAGAGATAAAGAATAAAGAGATAAACACAATTTTAAGTGTCTCACTCACGTTCTATGTGACTTACGTCTTGTTGACCTTTTTTTCCTCTGGTACAATTTTTACATTTTGTGATTTAAAATGGGATTTCTACATAACTACCTGAGTTTTTTGTTATTGTAATGTCCTAGTTTAAGCTAGAATAGAATTGATTTGCCACTCAGTGATTTTACGTTTCAGCTAAGTCTAAGAGGCTGCCCTTTCTGAAGTTAACAGTGTGTTTTCTCAGTGTCTGCTTCTAGAATGCCTGATGTTTATAGCTACTGTGAAGGACTGGTATGCAGAAAGGGTTTTGCTTATACGTGCTCCTATAGAGCTAAATCTTGTGTGCCATGTTACGAGTGTCGTAAGAAAAAGGGCTGCAAATAAAAAGGTTGGACTTGCAGGGAAGAGCAGACAGAACAAGTGACCTAAACTGACAACAGAATATTCCATTCCATGTGCATCATGTTCAGCATAAAGCTGAGGGATCAGAAGGGCTGAGCCTTCTTCTTCAGTGGCTGGCATTGGAGAAGGACTCTGTCCATTCTTCCACCTTCGATCCCAATCCGTGCGATCCTGAACCCAGTTCCCATCTGCTGCTGAGTTCAGCCTGAGACTTCTCCAGTGCTTCTTCCACAGCATCAGTGGTGACTCACTGAGTTTCAATACTGGGTTTGTATATGTATCTGTATATATTTCATTATTTTCTTAATATTATTTAGCTTTTCTTTCTATTGTTTCTGTTTCATTAAAGCTGTTTTGTTCTTTCTCCAATCTGTAAGTCTCTCTCCCTTATTCCCTTTCCCTTTACCTTCTAGGGATGGGAAAGGGGTTAACAGAGAACATTTTTCATCCCTTTAGCTGCAGCCCAGCCCTAACTGGTGACACCTGAAGATGGTAATTAAGTGAAGTACCTCTGATTGTTTTTAATTTAATGGGTATGCAAACAGAAGACATAAGAAAGTCTAATCTCTAAAACAGCTGCTTAAAAACACAAGTAATGACTTAAAGAGGGGCTTTGGTGGTACCAATTTACCAATATATGATTCTACGGTGCTGTTAAAATTGCACGTGCTCTGTTATTTTACATTTCTTTAGTACTATTTATATGTACTCTTTAAAATTAATTAAATTTACAATTAAGGAAATACATATACCACTGAAATTGAATTACAAAGTGAAATTCATCATTAAAAAAAAATAATTCCGAAGATAAGTTGTTTAAATTAGAATTCTGGACGGGACAAAATAAGTTCTCGTAAGTATTTATTATACAAGTAAAGCATGACAGATTTTTTTTCTCTCCCCAGCAGTGATGTGGTTCACTCCACACAGTCAGTTGAGACAAAGAGAAAAAGTTGCTGAACTCAAGTGTCAAAGTAATAGCAAATTTTGTCTCTTTCAAGAAAATGCTGCATTTACCAGGAAGGTCATTCTGTTTCACTGAGAGATGATGTTTACACCAGTGATGTCATGTTTCAAACTTTTCAACAGGTCTCAATAACAATGGAGTAACCCACAATTAAGACACAAACCACAGTTCAGCATGGATATACCACGTTCATGATGAGCAAATTCTCGTAACACACACACACACACACACACACAATTATATTAAAAATATGCAAGACTTGCGGTGTAAGTCTTAAAACTTGCAGTCAGAAATATCTAATGATGATGTAAAAACACTTCAGACTTTCCAGTGTCAAATGGAGAAAACAATGGTGCTATACTAGAATGCTACTCTGCTCCAGCTGGTACCTTTAACTTAAGTTTTAGTGACTCCACTCTCATAGCAAGCTTAGACTGACAAGTGATTACCAAGGTGAACAGCTTCAGCAATGAGTGATTTTCTCCATAGTCACATTATCTCAATGGTAACTATCCCATCATCTCAGTTTGTTACCTGCATGTATGTATTCTTTACCGAGGAGGAAGCTGAAATCTTCTTCTTTGGCCTTGATGTCCCAATCCATATTCTCTACCTGGAGGGAACAGGAAAGGAATTATGTTTTTTTTTTTATTAATATTGAAGCAGGAAAACAAGAGCTTCTTCAGATAGTTTGCAAGAAAAGTTACATTTATACATATTTTGAAAATAATAACATATCCCTGTCCAGTTGATGTATAATTATGGCTGAAATCCATGGTGGCAATGCTGTTCTTCAGGCTCTTGGGCCATTGTAACTTTTAAATCTAGACCAATTAATGGGTTCAGATAGTGAATTGTACAGATATACAGTGTGATGCATATATCAGACTGTGTAAATTCAGGAAAAGAAAATACACTATTTAGAACCAGACTATATTAGTAAACTATATTAACTATATTAGTAAACATTTTCATACTGTTTAATTGTGCCTGTGTACAATACTGTTTTAGTTACAGATTCCTACAAGCAAAGTAGCACCCAAACTGTAAAAGAAATCTTATTTTAAAGCAACAAAGTTCTACCAAGTCCCACCTACATTATGGTTTTATCAAAATCATATTAATCAGAAACATGTTTGAACACAGAGTATGCAACACACATGTGGAAGCCTTGATTAAACACCTAGCAAACAAAAATAGAACCTGGGATTAAACTGTCTTTGTAGTGTCCCTGAAAAACAGTATTTGCTAGGCAACTTTGACCATGTATAAGAACAAATGCAGAAAAAGAGAGACAGCACATTTTCTTTTGGGAAACAACATTTGTTAGTTTTATGCCTAGCAAATGAAAACTTGCTACCAACTGAGATCCCTCAGTGTAGCTGTATTATGTTCAGCTACATGGCTTACAGTTTGGCAAGACCGAATTGAATGTATGTTTCTGCTGTAATTACATTCCATGAAGAAAAGGGACTCTAAATAATTCCACTTTGTCTTGGACAAGAGTTTCTCTTGAGTGATACATACCTCCCAACAATGCTATTTTTTCTATATCTTTCCTTGACACTCATCTTTCCTTTCCCCTGTAAAACTGCTTTGAATTGTTCATAAAAGCTTTTCTCCAAGACACTGTTTTTAAAGAAAAATAAACAACTTCTGAAAATGTGATATTTTCTGTGTGGAATTCTTTAAAAAACAAAAGCTGACCATTTCCCTTTTTCTCTTCTTTTCCAATAAAGAGATGGAGGAAAAACAAGGCAAAGGTGGATGGAAACAAAGAAAGCCAACCAATTTTTTGTGGAGAGAATATAATTTTCTTAAGCAGAATATAGACAACCTCTAAAGCCAACAACTTCTAAATGCTAGCATGAAATCGTCAAAATGCTTCACTATTTTCCCTTTTCACCGTTTATGATTCTGGTGGTACATGACTGAGAGCTGAAATTATCCATGACTTCTAGCTCTCTGACAGCTCTTACTCATTATGTCCTCATCCCTCCCCTGGGTCCATCATCCAGAGAGTTCTGATGTTCACCTTATGACCAGCACAAATTCTATATCTTTGCCAATCCCTACTATATTAGGGTATCCTTGATTTCAGCCATTCATGTAGCTGTTACAGCCAGTCCCATAGACACTTTCTCATCTCTCTCCTTCCCCAATCTTCAGCTCACTTTTCAGACTGGTTTTCAAAGACTGGTACAAGAATCATTGTTCAAATCACTGAAATTTTAAAATATAACTATTGAAGTATATCTGTCTTTTGTATGTTGACTTAGATCTAGGTGGTAATTTGAATACTATGACAAACAATCTCAGTGTTTATCAGTTTGACTGCTGAAGAGAGTGACAAAGACACATGATAGCAGTGATTTCCATCGCTCTTAGAGCTCAGTTTATTTTTAGCTATTTGTAGATTGAGGTAATAATGTGATTTCAAAATAACATATTAGTGGTCTTAACTGTTAATTAATGAAGTTTTGTCTAGCAATAGCTATGTGGCATGTGGTGTGGTGTTTCAGCCACAAACCTAGAATTCATAAAGTCACAATTTATTACAGACATCTATGCTACCTCAGGCAAGACTCTTAAAGCACATAAATTACTAACTGCTGCAGTGAAAAGTTTTATATTGCAATAACAGAAGCTTTAAATTAGATATCTATGACATGTTTAACAAGCATCAGAATAGACAGACACTCAGAACAGAACGAACAAAAGGCAGCATATTAAATTAATAAACAAGAAACGCTGCGGAAAAATCTGCTCTCTGTGAAGCTTAGATGTCCTGATCTGAATTACAGGGATGCACTCACCATTTGTAGCACACAACCAAGAAATTTATGAAGAGAACTTAAAATGCTAAATAAAATCAAAATAAAACACTCCCTCCCACCAAAAATCAAAAGACCCCCACAGCTGAATTCCCTTCTCTCAAAATACAGTTAGAGGACGAGATGTTAATTACAAGAGATCAGTGGGTACTATTCACCACAAAATGAGGGATGCCTAAATTCCATTCTTGTTCTGCCTGAGGGGATTCAAACCATCATCTCAGAGAAAAACCAGCGTTTCTTCGATTTATGCTTTCTGAGTGGAGGCACTCTTACCTCCACTGCTGAAATTGAGACATTGCCATGGAGTTCTTAAGCATTAACTGATAAGAGAAAGCAAAGGCTGCCTAATCACTGGGTATGCTCCTGACACAAAAGAATATATGGGTCCCGTGGTTACTGTTCCATTACTCTATAATGCATTTAATCCAATGATTTATATATAATATGCAACAGTAGGAACCATAACAGTATACCACAGGAATCATGGAATCATCACAGAATCACAGAATGGTTTGGGCTGGAAGGGACCTTAAAGATCATCTAGTTTCAATCCCCCCACCATGCCAGGAACATCTGCCACTAGACCAGGTTGCTCAAAGCCCCATCCAGCCTGGCCTTGAACACTGCCAGGGATGAGGCATCCACAACTTCCCTAAAAGATGTGATAGACAGGTATCACTAATATTACTAGGTTTAATCATGTAAGCTATCACAGAACACAAAATCGCCACTTTTTTTTTCCTCTTTTTTTTTTTTCTCTCTTTGGTGAAACATACACATACAGCAGAGACAATAGCTAGGTAATGAAACAACCCAAACACCTGTCTTAATATTAGTAAACTTAAGAAGAAGAAACTTTGTCAAAATCATTCATCTTGGCAGACCAGTTTCAAAGGAGCTCTAAAATATTGCAGGGCTCTTCTGTAAGGACGTATATATATTTCCCACTGCACTTACGGGATCATGTTTTAAGAGTATCCTGAGGGCAGTAAATAGGACTAGTGCAGAGATGTTATAATAAGGCCACAGAAACACATTTCTAACACTGTTCAGCACAGCTACTGTGGAACATATTTTGTGGCATACATATAGTTGTAAGATCTCTGGAGCTGCACAGAGATGACCTGACCCCTGAATAGCAGGCCTCTTGAGACAGTCATAATAAAAATGACCAGTTTTGGTTCTGCTCATGGTCAGCACACATACTATATTTTAAGTTTACATTTCACATACACGATCAAACAATCTCATCTGTTTATAAAATGATAGTATCTCACTCTTAAGCATACAATGGTGGCACCTGAAACACATTAAACACTTCACTGTATTTATTTACTATTTATCCACCCTAATCACACCATCAGTCTTCTTCAAAAACCTCATGTGGAAACACAGAAGAAATGCAGGGTCTGCAGACATAATAAAATAACGGATCTTTCTTAGACACTTTGTTTATTTTCTTTAATCTATGTGTATATGCTTTAACTCATAATAATAAGGAAGTAAAACTGAAATGTTAGCTCAACAGTGTTATTTAAAATGATGCTTCAATGAAATAAATATCTGTTCTGTTCAAGAAGTGCGACTGGTGAATAACTTAAGATAAATGCCAAGAAAAGACAGAATTTCCATTTGTGTTACTCAAGCAATGATCTGGAAGCTGAGACCTTGATCTAGAAAATATCTAAGAATGTGTTTAACTTTATTCATATGCTTAAGTGTTTTGTTGAAGTATGAACTGAGATCTGCAGCTAAAGACTTCAGACAGAACTTTCTGTGCAGCTGTGCCAAGTTGTTTTAGAGTTGTTGCAGTTTTAAACACAGTTCAGCTGAGACCACGCATGAAAAGTTTAAATACCATAGGAAAGCTTTTTTTCCAGAACACAGTAAGTAAAAGACGACTCCACATTATAATGCTACACTCAATCTCACCTCACAGGGTTAGTTTTTGCTAATGGGGTACATAACTATAACTGATAAGAGTTTTGCTACTGACTGCTGTGGCCACAGTGTAACTGCATATAGACACAGAGCTGTTATATATTGTTCATAGAGATGATTCCAAATACACACACGTGCACACATTTTTTACCTTGTGGTTGAGGATTTCTCCACAGGAACCCCCTCATCTGGTTATGATATGGAGGAACAAAACTTCTGCGTCTTTGTTGGAATCTGGGATTAAATTGTCTTTGCTGCATCCCTGAAAAACAGTATTTACTATGCAACTTTGACCGTATGTAAAATTAAATGCAGAAGAAGAGAAACAGCATATTCTTTTTTGGGAAACAATATTTGTTAGTTTTATGCCAAAGCAATTTTGCACAATTACAATTTTTCCAAATTAAAGTTAGCCTAATAAGCATGGTTCTTGTCCTCATCTCCATCTATGCATGTCATGATTACAAGCTGTTAACAAGTTATTTAGAACCAGATCAAAATTCTATGACATAGATTTGGAGACTGCAGTCATTAAAACAAAACAGAAATCTCTGTCCAAACTGCAATCACAAATCATAATTAAAAAGGTTAAGTACAGCTCACAAGCAATAGCAGATGCTAAGAAGGTCTGGTATCATAAATCACCAACAGATACACCTGCACCAGGATGGTGTAGTACCACACCAGAAACGTTACTATCACATACGAAAAGTACTGAACTAGCAGAAAATCATTCTGCCTATTGCAATTGGCTCAAGGAATTCTGAAGGGGTAATTCTTATCCTTACAGACATTATAACTGACCAGGTGTTAAGCAGATAATAAACATAATATCAGCATAAACAGTGAGATTCAGTGTAAATTATTTTGAAGCTTCAAAAGCCACAACATTCAGGCTGATCTGTTAACGATGCTGAAAACCTTTGTGTTTTTTTTAGCTCTGAAAGTTAGGCAAATCAGGTGGGGAAAACAAATGTCTTTAATAAGCAAAGCCACAAAGATGGAGGGAAAAAAGCAAGAGCTTAGGCAAAAAAACTCCATTATCCAGGTTGCCCAAAAGCTTTCTTGTATTTTCAGTTACATCAGTCAGTCCAGTAAGGAGTATTCTCTTTTCAATGCCTCACTCAGACCTTCAACTATCAATGTTAAAATAGCTCCCCTGAGGGAAAGGAATTAAAAAAACCTCTGAGTCATCTAATTCCTGTCACTGAGTAAACAGAAGTGGTGTTTCGGTACTGAATATTTTATTTACTGCATATATCTCACTAACTATGTAGCTAGATGGAAATATTATTTTATCCAAACATGAGAAATCAAATTCAAATGAATTCCTAAAATCTGGAAATATTTTCTTAGATGTCTCCTTTGTTTTCTTGGAGAAAGACCTTATAATTTACTTATCTTAATGGGCTGCCTATGTAAATGCTGCTGCTCTTGAAAGATAATCGAGCTTATCAATATGCTGCCTTTATTGAGAAAAGTAACACAATACCAACCTGTGATAAATTCATTCCCTCTTGGTCTGCTCTGTATTGTTCTTTTCTTCACCATGCAAACCTTGCAAATGAAAGACTTCAGATTGTGGAAGGGTGCATACAAAGACTCCTGCAGACAAGGTTAAAAATCAATGACTGTTCTGCTTTTCTCGCTTCAGGTGTAGCATAAATAAATCACATACACAACAACTAGAATTTTCTCAGCCCACACTCACACATATACGAAGGTGGTAGATCTGGATCACATTTTTTCACAAAACAAGGTTCAAACATTGCATATATAAAGTGGATCCTTGGAAGAGTGAATAGGGGTGTGAAGGAATGTTTTCCTCTTCACAGTGAATTTTGGTTTTCTTGCCTGCTCATCTCTGTAAAATCACTTGCTTTCATATTTCATGACCTTGCACCTGTAGTTATACTTTAACTAGACTTCTGTGAGCAATACCTCATGCAGAGATGGTTAAAGTCTCCAGATAAGGACTGATGAGCTAATGGAAAACAGTGAAAATCAAAGTATCTTAATATCATACATTAGAAACAAAACTTACCACAATAGTAATACAACAGCCCCAACTCCTGACTGATAAAATATAACCAAGTCCAAAGAGAAATGGGTGAGTTAAATAGAAATATTTACCTTGTGGTGTGATGAAAAATTCTACTGTCAAAAGGACAAGCTGAAGCTATTTAAAGACGCAACACTAAGAGATGTAGTATGTCCTTAACTTTCACTGATTTCAATAAGCTTTGACTAAGTGTCAGATCTTACAATTTTTTCCCTTTTATTGATTTGTACTGGGCATGTGGGCAGTAGAACACATTCAAAAGAGCATTGAAAAGATGGATTTTAGAGCAATAGCACAATTCGTAATTTTCATAAAACTGAACTGATTTTTACAGATGATAATTCCATTTTTTAAGCATCAAGGTGGAGGGAGAGCAGGACAGAGGGGAGAGGATTACAGGATAAGACAAAAATCTAATAGGAGGCAAGACTGCAGCAACTAGAGATGCTTCTTGGATTACAGGTAGAGTCTGAATTCTTGAACCCTCCTGTGGTCTTTCCTAGTACATATTTTAAGCTAACAAACCCCTTCATAAAGCCTCAAGCAAAACCCAGAGATTTTTTTTTTTTCCATACAAACTGAGTACAATTTGTGAAGAACACTCACTAATGGGAAAAAAACCTTTCCTTTTATAAATGGAAGAATAAATTCAGAATGTACTTATGAAGGTTGGATGAGAGGCATGATCAGAAAAGGACAAAATATATCACTTACGCTGACCCCATTAGGTAATTTGGTTTCAATTTAAAAAAATTGATCACGAACACACTCATTAGTGAGAAGCACAATAAAAAGGCTAATAAAGTGATAATATCATTGCCTCATTGCTTTATGAGACTATTATATCCAATTTTCTGTGTGGATAAACAAACTAATATGATTACTGTTACAAAAAATGGAGAGCTGGCATAATATGAGCTTAGCATATTTTGTAAAAAAGCAAGATGGCTCTACTTTTGATTCTTAACAGAAGCTCTCAATTTTTTATCTCTAACAGCTGCTATGCTACAAAGAGCTGAACTATACAAAAGCTTGCCCTCAAATAAATAAACCGCATTTAATTTTTACTTTTTTTTTCTTTTGGTGCAAGAATTTGTGGGAGGTAAACCCTAAAATGTTGAAAATACATGCAAATATTTAACCAAGATTGTATTTCTGCTGCAATTTTCGTAAGCCTATTAACTGTATTTGAACCCATCATAATCAAACCAACACTGACTCTGAGATGCCCTTAACTCCCCGAAGTAATGTAACTGTCCCGATTATAGAGAAGGGACCTTAGGAGACAAACACTGAACACCAAAAAAAGTAACTTCTTCCTATTATTTATCTTTTCTATAACAAACCATCCCATGTAGAATCACTTTTTTTTCTGAATACAATTCTGTCGCTATCATCAGATTAGATTTATGGTGCTCAATGGCAGATTGTTAACAAACAACTGCTGAAAGATCTTGGCTTCCAGTGGTACATTAAGCTCTGCCAGGAACTAAGTACCAGTTTTATTTATTAAAGTTGAACGTATAATGATAGGAAAAAACAATCACAATGCTTGCTGCCTGGCCAGTGTCCCCAGCTACACTGGCATCTCTTGGTAATTCTCCCAAAACCAGATTCCTACCTCAAACTGATAAGCTGGAAAGCTATTTTATTAGTCTGGGAGCTGTCTCTGCCATATATGTAGCATGAAATAGTACTTAAAAAAGAAAAAGATATTTAAACTACTCTAAAAATGCACAGGGCTAGACTGTTCTTTCCCCACAACAGAATAATTTATCTGGGGTTTGTTTAAACTAGAGTTTCAGGCTTTTAAAAACATTAACCTAGATATTTTAGTTGATCAAGCACATTTCCAACTCTGTTCTAGGGATCTAGGCATCTTCCTTCATCTTCCCTCTAAAATAGGTTAAAATAGAACTTTAAACTGACCACATCAAGGTTTTTAAATGCTAGATAAAGCACACTACCCAATGCATTTAAAAATACCTCTCAACCAATATAAATTTGTACAGGTTTAGATATATACTGTAAAAGTTAGTCACTAACTTGAATTCTACCTAAATGGAAAAGAAGTGTCAATTTCAAACAGATCTGTGCAGTGTTATATTTTCCTATTAATTCTTTAGACTCTCTATTGTTCTGCAAAAGTCCTACACGAAAAACTGGATGAACTACTGGCCCAGTCCAAAATCTACTGAAGTCAATGGACCAATTAATGGGAACCACAGGATCTAGATAGAGGCTATAGTCTCAATCGTATGATTGGTTCCACATGGAACGGATTATCCTCCTCTTCCAAGCTGAAAACACATCTGTTCCACCCATGTTACGCTCATCGTTCCAGATCAGGATGGTATGTAATTGGACACAAAATCAGAAAATCAATTATAAAACTGATATTGAATAGAGGAGATTAAAATAATTCAAAACCGAAAGCTTTTTTCTCTGCAATCACATTTATTTATTTTAATCTCAAGTGACATATATAACAGCAGGTAAAACCATTCCAGAGGTAAAATTTTCAAAAGCAATTAAATGATACAGGATTTTCAGTTCAACCAAGAAAGGAGCCACATTAATCAAAGGTTTTAGGAGCTACCTACACAGATGTGTGCAGATCTACCCAAGCATCTCTTCACATATTCTGTGCTGGTCTGGTCCAAAGCTTCAGGAGTGCATTTAAACAGCCTTGTACCCACTCTAGCAGATCCTACCTTTAAGCCTAGATGTGATGCCACCCTAACACACCAGATGTAGTCCATATTCAGCAAGGCTCTGCTGATATCTCCCTGCCCTTGCCTGGGCAGACATGTTTTAAGCTATAGTGTTTTCTTGGTAATATAGCATGCAAATTGTACAAATCCCCAGCTTCTGAAAACTGGGATTGAGAACAAATAAGCACTTAGAAGTACAAGAACTTGGTGACATTCTAAAAAACACCTAGATATATACCTTCCTCTGATTTACAGCTCTTCTTTGAATTTACCAAATGTTCATCTCGAATTTTAGGTTCCTTAATACCTTCAAAAATATCACTCAAATACTTTAAAAATTATACCAAATATGCTTATTTAAAGACATTATTACTATGTCGCAAGAAACCTTACAGAAAAAAGATCTCATTAATACCTTAGTACTAGAAAAACATTACAGGCATTTTCATTTTTTTAAACTGACAACTATTTTGTCACTTCCTTATATTGTTTTGTGAGTAATAGAAGGTAAAATTATAGCTTCCTTCATAATCTCAATACTTCTACCTTCTTAGGGTTGTTGGCTTTTTGCCAGAAAGGATGAAAAAGTAATAAGGAAGAGAGGAAAAGTACAAAGAAAGGAGACCGGTGTCAACATGAATATTAAAGCAAGAAACATAGACAGGAATCTTTTTCAAAGAATAAAGAACTGTGTAAGAGGATGTAATTACTCACATTGCCTTCCAAAAGCTCCTCCAAAGGGCAACCTCGGTGCGACTGCTGGTACTTTTCTTGAAAAAGTTTTCCGTCAAACACTTTCCAAGGCATCAAATCATCCATTCTGAATGGAAACCCACAGGCACTGTTGGCCATGAGTAAAGTTGTAAGGCCACGAACAAATACAGCACCGAGATGTACAGCTCTGGGATCCACTTGCTCAAGCTATTAACACAGACACAAACACAAAACAAAGAAAAAGAAAAGACAGGCCTCACAAATCGGGAAATACAAGCAATCTTACCATCACACATAATCATGTGAACAGCACAGCACATGATAAACTGTCCTAAAACTGTGAAAATGATGGTCTTCTGTTGTACAGTAGAATTCATCAAATGATTCTGTATCTAGTTTTATTCAATAAAGTTCAAGATGTGGAGTTTAACAAATACAGCAACTCACTTTTTAAGACAGATACATTCAAAATGAAAACTGAAAGGCAAAATAAATGTTTATTCTCTATCGTGTTTCTCAAGCACTAGCCATTCCCCAGAAAGAATTCTGTTAGTGGAATGCAAAATATGAACTGGGAGTATAAAATTATGTGTACAGTGATCCACTGACCTTCCAGTTTGATCAACCAGGAAATGTTACAGCATTTAGAGATCATTTAAATTATAAGATTTGACAGATCCAAGTTTATTGCGACCAGGCTTTTACTTTAAATACTTAAAAATTTCCTCTGACTGTAGTGTGAGGAATTATTATTCCTCAAATTATTTCACTTCAACATGGATTACTCCAGAAGAAATATTGGAATGGTATGACAACATCCAGAATATGCAAAATGAGAAACTCAACAAGACGATTAAAACTAATGGCCAAAATAAACCCAATGGGTGATTTTAACATTCTGCTGTACAGTGCATAGCAAACTATAGAAGCCCTGAATCCAATATGGGAAAATCTGTGATTTTAAGTATTGTGTAAGCAGTACAAAGCTCCTCAGTGGAGAATGCCTCTTCCACAGTCTGTACCGAAGCAGTCTGCCAGAACCAGGAGGGATTCATAACAATGTGGCCATCAATACTGTAATCTGTTGTACCTCTAGGGTACAGTTTTCCTTACAATATAAGTTATACTAGGCATAGAACAGCATCCAAAGTAGTCTAGAACAGAAAGAACAAAAATATGGCTCAAATTCGTCTTAGCACTGACTCCTGAAGAGCTGTGAATTGTTTGTTTGAAATGCAATGGAATGGGTTGCCCATTATTACTAACAATAACAACATCTTACATCTTGAAAGAACCCCACATATATACCATCAGTGCCCTTTTACAGTGTCCCTTGCTACAAGCAGCAGCAGACAACACGAAATGTACTAATGGATCAGAACTTCCTCCCTACGGTTCACATAAAACTTTTGCTAGCAACACGGAGCTACAAACCTTCTTCCAAAACAGACAAATGCAATAAATAATTTGGAGAACATAGCTGGCAACTGCTCAAGGACTTTGGTTTTCTGTGTTATAATGCAATGAGCAGAAGCCTGTTGCGTGATTTCACATGCAACTGGCTTCTGTGACAGGGTTCCCTCTAACCATAGACAAGGGGCAGCAGGGTTCTGTTAAGCTGACTTGAAGTCCACTGGCTGTTTTTTCTACAGTACAAAAGCAAAAGAGGACCTAGGGAGGATGATAATGCAGCCAAAAGATACCAGGCAGGGTGATCTGGAGCCCTCTGGGAAGAACTTCTGCCTCTATTGATTCCTGGAAAGGCATCAAGCTGGCCACCAGGACACTGCCCCAACATGACACTCACTACCTGAAATTCACCCAATACAGACAACTGAAGACAATCACTGACACCCAGACAGATGCAAATGACACAAGCTAATTTGAGCAGTCATTTAGAAAATGAAAGGTCGATCCTTTTCTGACTGTGACACTTCACATCTGAGTAAGGGAGATCTTCTTCTCCTCACCCACATCCCCCTCTAAATTAAAAGTATTTTCAGTACAGAATCAGACTGTTGACTTCAGGAAGTTATTGCCTCCAGATGTAACCTGTCATTTGGCCAGCTGAGACTAGTAACTACATGCACACTCATAACCCTCTTTCTCTAGCAAGTAAAGGAGGTTTTTGTGAACCGCTTAGCAATGCTGAAAGGTACTTGAAAGAGGAATGTGGTTTAAGTGAACCAGCATTATCTGTACTAAAGCAGACTGTAAGGGTGCGCAGGGCCAGTTACCATGCTGCAGCTGAGAGATTTGCGCTAACCACGTTGTTTTTCATCACCTGATCTTAAGACCTGCTAAGGAAATGAGTCCACATCATTACAAGCTTTAAAATGGAATCTGCTTGGTTTGTGATCACAAAGTAAGACTTTATGAGCCAAAAACACAAAGAGTAAGAATTGCTGGGAATCCTTAGAACGCCTCCTTATTTTATTTTTTTTGGTAAACTAATCCAGCTAGGGAATTCTTTCAGAATTTATGTACCCTGGTTTTGGTCTCAATGCAACAATAAATTGAACTTTAAATAACTTCAGTAAAATACTTCAAAGCACTTTGACAAGCAGTGAAGTTTTGTTCTTAAGCTATAAGGAAAAAGGACATGTGAAGCTACAAGTAGCAGCAGAAGCCAACGAGCATACCATCCAGATGAATAAAGCTTGGCCAAATTTATATCCATACAATTTATGCCACCAATAATGTCTTTATTATAGATCAGTACAAAACCAGACTGAAATTCCCTGTCATACAAATTAGTATCTTCTGTCACTGAATTATCCGTAAGTACAGATAATGTCAAAAGATTTAATTGCTGAAAACAAACTTTCATGAAGAATAATGAAAACAAGTATATAAGCTGTTGAAAAGAGTAAATGTTGTCATCTGCAGCAAGCAATTTCCTGTCTTCTAATTTAACAGCTGTGTACTATATGACTATTAATTCGTACCTTTTTGTCATTTCTTGACAAAGATGCTTTTACTGCCCTTTTTAGTCCCACTGGTATCAAGGATCTGTAACAGCTGTTAGAACAGATTACTAATAATAAATGTGGATGCTGGATGCCATCTGGGCCATAAATCTTAAAATAAAGCTTTTATATCCTTATTTTGCTCTGAAAACTCTAAGCATACATGAAACACAAATATGTGATCAACCCGACTTTCTTCAGTGACGTTATTCAAGTTTGTGCAAAACAAATGTATACGTACTTGCAAGAATTTGAAAAGAACTTGCTTTTGATGGTGATGCACAATATAGAAGATGACTTTGAGTGCTATATATCAAGCTGGGGTTCAGTGTAGTACTGTCATCGATGCCAGGTGCTACTTCTGCCTGAGTCTGTGCCACCAATACAACTCTAGCTGTGCTCTTTTCAACTACACTTAAGACATGCTGGTTAAAAAGATAAAATAATGTTGCTGGTGACAGGTTTGACAGGTAGAAGTCTTCACTGATATTAATCCAGAACTTTCCTAAAGCACTGAAGTACTGCAGTGGGTGGTGGGGGTGTGTGTGACACCAGGTAAGGTGGATATCACGCTTGGCAAGACCAAGGCAAGAACTATCAGCAGTGAATTCTTCATTTTAATATGACAGGAAATACATTCACTAAAGGCTAGCTTTTTTTTCCCATGTCTGGCAATGAAAAACAAAGAAAATGAAAGCATAGTGAGTCTGTAACAATGAGCCTGTGCACATGGCAAACCACAGACTTGCTTTGCCATGGGAATTCTCACAACTGCTTGGTGTCTGCAACGCAAAGACGTCACGATGAGGAGAAGTGGAAAATTCCAAAAGAAAAGAAGACTTGCCTTCCAGGGCATTACACCCTAGAGATTACTTCTTATTGGAAATCGTGTCTGTTCTTTTTACTATTTTTATAAACTCAGGACCCCAGTAAGTCCCTGTGATTCTGCTGCTGCTACTCCTACCCCCAGCTGATGACATTTGTGTGAGAAGACAGGGAGTGTGTGAGAACTGCTCCTCCTGCACCAGCTGCCTGCGCTGTGCCTCTGCTGCTGCTCCTACTAACAGCAGCTCCCCACCGCGTTTGGGGAAAAACATTACTTTTTCTATTTGCCAACTCAAAGTTCACAGTCCTCTAGCATCATGGAAGCAGAGGTTACTGATACCGTGCTCAGAAGGCCTGAGCTGAACTGGCTAAGCTTGCTTGAAAGAAAAAAGAGAGAAGTGCTACAGCACCCACATGACTCATGTATAAGGTTTTTTTCTAGCAATTCGAGAAATGCCTTTGCTATAAAAGCCATCATGATAGACCTATTGCTGCCTTTTGCTTCTGCAGAAACAGGGCTTTGGCCTGTGGGCCACAAGTTCAGGCTGATCCCTGTGCTCATGTGCATCCTCATTAAAAGAGGCTTTGCAAGAAGCAATGTGTTTTCTCACAGGAGCAATTTGCAGATCTAGACCCAGAAACCATATAATGTTTTTTTTAGTGACAGGAAGAAAAATACATGGATCTTGTATATGAAGTGCAAATTTCCAGATGAAATTACATCTAGTTAAATAAGAATAAAATAAAAGTCAGGATGTAAAAATACCATTATGTGTTAAGGAAATACTACTAGTCCTCTGCATCTTTTCTGTGGATCCACAAGTGATTTTTTGACAGAGGTGTAAACATTATCCCGTGCACTTGTAAAGCAGCACAACCTATTTTCAGGAACTTACTAAAAACCCCATAATTCCTTCACCACTCTACTTTATTGAGATTAGAGGGCTCAGATTCAGATGAATAGGTTCCACTGCACTTGAAGTGTGAGAGGGCAAGTATCTGAACACACCAGACATCAGCAGACAGAAATGAAGGTCAGAACCATACCCATTGGCAAAGCCACCTCATTATCTACACTTCTAGAAACCAAGGAGAAAGGTGAAGATACTGTAACAATTTTACAGTTCTTTACCTGCCCTACTTGACCCGTCATCTGTAACTCAATGTACTAGATACTACATTTCATTTAAGAAACAATTCCTTTAGTAGGATTTTCAACAACATTCTGGGGATACACTTTTTCAATGAAAAAAAATTGGTTTAATACTTGTTACTTCAGTTAAAGTTGTTCTTTTGCACTTTATTTTTTTCCTGATCTGTTGCCTTCTTCCTGTGGTCGAGTTACACACAGAAGATAGGACTATGGCTAACATTCTGAAATATATATTTAAAAAGAAATAACTTAAAAATTAG